TTTTTTTAATTCGTTGTTGATGATTAGATTGTTCTAACACCAGATTTTAGTGTTAACTACAACAATTACTTCAACTTTTTTGGTTTTACAGAACAACATTGTATTTGTTTGATATATATGCCAATCCTCCTGATAACTGTCAACTTATTGTTTTTTTTTTTTTTTTTAATATTATTACTGAACATTTTTAGTGTATATTGCATAACAGATTTGTCTTAAGTGTCTCTTTTTTTCCCATTAGTTGATTAAAATGTCAGATTCTTTGTTTCAAATGCTATTTTAATCTTAGTACTGTACACAGTAGCGACTGCACATTCTTATATGCTAATCTTTGCCTTAACTGTTCCACTCGTTTCATTCATTAAATTTTTTTCACACCAGTTTTCTTCCTTCTGCTTCAACTTCTTTTTCATCCATTGAAATTCCTCTTCTAACAGTATTTGCTGCTTCCACAACTATTTCATTGTTTTTTCCCTTCCTTCTCCTCCCTCTCGCACTATCTCTCTCTACATTCTCAACCAATTTTGTGCCCTTCTTTGCCTCCCTCTGTTGTCACTTACTGTTGCATTAATTAAAATTGTACCAGAAACCAGTTACTTTCCTTTTACTTCTGCTTGACTTAGTTTCTAAACGAATAGTTGCACAACGCAAAAAAACTCAAAAAATGTAAGCATGATTTTGGAATGTAACAAAAAACAAGTGCCAACTATCGTACACTTGTTCACAATTGTAATAAATAAAAGCAGTTAAGCAAGCCAAACTTTCGGCCAAAACTGATTAGCTTTCATATTTTCAAAGAATAGTTTTCAATACTGGTACGTTTGAATTCTTGCACTATTTCTTTATAAGCGGGTAAGTAGACTCTTTGAAAAGAAATAAATCTCTTCATACCATTAGCCTCAAAAGATTTTCTGAAAAGAATATACAAACTAAAATTTTAGACGTTTGCACCACCTAGTAACTTACTGCAGTTTTCAGGACAACTATGCACTCAACTGATACAATGTTCGTCCTTATAAAACCAACTTTATTTACAGCCCCCTATTCCTTAAGCCCAAAACACGAGCTACGCCAAAAATCTCAGAATCATAACAGTAAAACTTCACCTTATCATTTATACAATCCCAGAAATTACACTCCGGACAATGGGTGCAAACAGATTTCTATTATATTTCGTAAAAGCTATGGAGTGAAAATTTGCTTCACAATAACTTCGGTCTCTATCGAAATGTCTGCAAAATCAGGAAAACAACGGTTTATTTGGGTATACGCACCAAACAAAAACAACAATGAAAGCTGAAGAAGAGCACGACACCTCGAGAAGAGTCGTGAAGCTTTGGAATTCAAAAAAAGTAATACCTTATTAGAACCTCGCGCTTTAAACCAATTATTATAAAATATCTTTCCTTTTACAATAAACCCCCTCAAGTTATAATCAAGTGATTGTTTGACGAGAAATCATGAAATTAAGAAAGGATAATGCTCAGCGATATCACTGTCACTCTAAAAATATTCTACACAATAAATGCGCAAAAGTAATGAGTTCATGATCAGTCAGGTGACAAAATTCCAAGTTCACAGTGTCCTAAAATACAACAGAACACAGAGATTACAGGCTCCCTAAACAAGAAAGACATCTCGTAATATTGAACAATTATAAACTCAAAGCAAGCGCCTCGCCTCCAAGAACTCCTAAGAATAAATCTTTAGGGTAACTAAACCTTTCTAAAACTTCTCTAGACAATGAAACTTGTAGTTTTACAAGAAATTTGAACACTTCTAAACAAGCTTCTAAATAATGCCAACTTTTCAGTTTGCCTAATAGAAACCAAATAAATCTATAAATTGGCCTGAGAACTCCACAAAGCGTATCCGAACGTAAACAAGCATAAAAGGTGTGCCAGAGCGAATTACAGAATACACCAAAGCAAAGCCAATAAAAGTTGCGTACTGCAAAACTAGAATAAAAAGCCGCCCTAAATAAAAGCACCTTTAAAAACAGCTCAAGATCTGACTAATGGGAAGACAGCTCAACAGCACCAAAAATGTTAACCCACAAGACCTAAAAATAAAAATTCAACATTTGCTCCACTGAAAAATTGAAATTCTTACCGATTTAACAAATAGACCTCGATTATTTGAGCTGTAATCAAAGTACGCTGACTAGTTTTACAACTAAATTGGATTAATGACATTCATGAGGATAAAATAAACGAGCCTGTACAACGTGAGTCATTTAACAAGCATACTTTAGTAAGGGGTAATAAATTCAGCAAGGTCACAAAAAAATTCCAACCAAACAAACAACAGCAACACTTACAACAGTACGGAAGTTGAAAAATCATTAATGTGACCAACAACTAATACAAGCAACAATTTTCTTTCAAAAATATGAAAATTCAACTCATTATATGTAAACTGTTTTAAACTTTTTAGCGCGATTGTAAATTAAGAATACCCTTTTTAAAGATGAAATTTTACCAAAACAACTAAAGGTTTGTATTTATA